CCCCCCCCCCCTTTTTATTTTTGTTTTTTTCTTTGTTTGTTTGAACCTTTTTTTCTTTCCACACTGTATATATGCATTTTCACTAATGTACTGATGTCTTCTCTCCCTTTTTTTCTCATGTTCTCGTTTTCCCTTTTGCCTTTTCACTTTCCTCCCCACATTAAGATGTGGCAATGGCTAAATGAGCAGGTAAACTGATGGTTTATTAAATTGTTTGTCGTCTGAAATGAGCTGCTGTCCTTTTGTTTAACAGTTAATTATTTTTTGATAAAGTATAAGAGTTTATTAACATTTTTAAGGAAGACAAAACATATTTTAAAGAAGAGAAATAATAGAACAAGAAAGGAGCGCCATCAATTAATTAAATTTGTTGTGACTTGATGTCTTACTCTGACGCAGATTTGTGTAAATCCTCATAACCTTGAAGGAAAGATCTAAATACTGTATTTTCCGCTCCATAAGACCCACTTTTCCCCCCCAAAAGGCGGGGGGAAATGTGTGTGCGTCTTATGGAGCGAATCCCTATCGCCCGACGCCCGGGACATGCAGTAGTTTTTTGTACATTTAGCCCTCATAAAGCAGAGGTAAATGTACAGTGGGAGACGCTGCTCGTTAAATACATGTGATCTAGTCAGATCATTTGTATTAAAAGCAAGCGGCGGCGGCGATCGAGTCTCACCATAGAGCCCCTAGAGCAGACGAAGAACGTCCGTACTTCGTCTGTTCTGTGTGATCACTGAGACTGGCGCTGTAATCATAGCACCACCTGTCTCAGCGGTCACTAATTGCAGCTTCTGTCACAGAACCTGTCACAGAACCTCCCTGCGTCTTATGGTCCGGTGCACCTTATGGAGCGCAAAATACGGTAGCTTTTATGTACAAATCATCATTTTTACCTCTACCTCCAATACTTGCCATTGTCGACTGACTCGACATTTCTCTTTTTCCAATTACTTATAAAACACTGAGTTCAAAAATTTAAAAAAAATTACACTTTTGAAACAAAAAGTAGCTTTTTTTTTAGTTTATTTCAAATCTAAATATGACTTTTCCTACTCCACTGGCCTCTCTACTCAATTGTATGACCCATGGAAAGTGATAGTAGAAAAGCTGGTAAGTGCTATTACAAATGAGGACAGAAGCACTATTACCGTATATACTTGAGTATAAGCCGAGATTTTCAGCCCATGTGCAGAGTGGGACTAGGTATCCAACACACTTGGAAGTACCGTATGTCCAGTTTGAATGGGGAGTTCGGTAGAATAGGCAGCAGAACAGATTTTAGAAGACATCTTATTTTGCAGATGGTGCTTTGCTACATGTTTAACACAGCAACAAAGTTAAATTGTGTTTATGGTATAGTTGAAATCTAAAATAAATCTGTGTGTGGGCATTTTATGAGTTTGTTTGCCTAAAACTAGTTTCAGTTCTGAGTTGATGCTTAATGTGCTTAATTGTGCATTAGAACTCCTTTTTACTACTTCACTCTATTAGTTTAGTTGTCCCTGAAGTTATGTAGCGTGCAGACATGGAATATCATAAGTATAGTGGAATCCCACAGTGGGAACACAGCAAACAACCCTGACAAAGATCCTAGGCTTTCCCCATTCTGTTAAAAAAAAAAAAGGTCTTGTCTCGCATTCCCCTTTAACATTTGGGATTACCATTTTGTTGAGGGTGATCTTTTTAATAGTTTCAAATGAATTTTCAGTGCTTAAACAGCAAAAAAAAGTATTTAAATAAGATAGTTTTTAAAATAATGTAATTTTAACCTTTTTACCTGTAATTTTAAGTCCTACTTTGGTTTGACAATCTCATTAGTAGCTGTAACCTATAATTATTTGTCAACTGCCATCTATTTGTTTGCTTTAATTGTGAACTATAGTTACTTCAGTGAGACCTGACTTAATGTATGTTAACATATATATATATACAGGGCTCGAAAATCCACTCGTCTGTGACGAGCAGACAGTGGAGCCCGACGAGCAGCTTCCCGGCCGGCTGTTGTAGTTACACGGCCGGCCGGGAGCTTTACAGTCAAGCGATCGAGCGTCTCAATCGCTTGTATCAGAAGCTGTCACTGCCGTTGCCGGTCCCCGAGATCCGCTGTGCCCGATGCGGCCAGGACCGGCACGGCTCTGTGACAGGAGATCAAAGGGAGTTCAGTGTACGAACTCCCTTTGATCTCCTCTCAGTCCCCGAATGCAGGAAGTGATGTATATTACATCACTTCCTGCATTCAGTGTCACTCTCCAGCTAGAGAAGCTGATGAAGCCGATCTCTGCTTCATCAGCTTCTCTGGAGGTCCCTAGGTGACATTAGGGGTCTTGGAGACCCCTGATGTCTCCATAAAGAGGACCTGTAAGGCTTGACATGTTTGGTGTCTATTTACCCGACGTGACCCCGACTTTTATGTTTTACTAAAAATATGGGTAAGAATAAATGTTTTATAACATATTGTAGGGAAACTTTTTTGTTTTTTTTTACATTTATGGTACTTTTTTAATTATATAGTAAAAAAAAATACCCTTGTGGTGATTATATACCTCCAAAAGAAAGCTCTATCTGTCCCCAAACTTTTTTAACATAAATTGCAAGGCTATAGTCCGGTCATGCTGACTGGTGAAATTTTTGACTGACTGGTGAGACACTATCACATTTTTCAAGCCCTGTGTATATATATTAAACATTTCCTGTATTAGAGAAAGCAATACTTCCACAAAGGTTTACTTAGTTTTGTAGGGCAATGTAAGTAAATTGGGACTACATTATTTTTTCATTATAAAGAAACCATTTTGCTTTCATTTTATGTTGTCTCTCTCCCTGTGCTAGCACATTCGGAAGTATGTATGAACGTCCTTTGTACATGTGCACACTCAAGCAGCGGTTTAACTGCAGTAACTATGGCAAAACTTGCCAGCCCACTTTGTGTGGGCACGATTGAATGCAGTCTTTGTGAGATGACAACACTGTAGCAGAGTAAGACGTTTCACCCTAAAAATGGAAGTTCCTGTGGATATGCTTTGTTAGTAGATCAACATGTATGATTTAATTGAAAGCAGGAAATATAATAAAAGAGTAAACTTTTTGATATACCTCTATGAATATAATCTCATTAAATCTGTCCCTGAAGATCTAGATAGGGTTTATCAACTTGCAAACTGCAAGGTAAGTCAGGCTTTCTGCCCAACCCAGGGTTTAGTTTGGTGTTGTGCTTCAGTCCCTTTGGGGTTTCCTTAGATGCTTTGGCTGTGTCTCATTTTTTTGCAGCCAGTGGCAGGGGACAGTGTGGACAGAAGGGAAAACCTTCTGCTACCGGAATAAAAAAGAGTTCCAATCGTTCCTCTCAGGCCTCTGGAGCCAAGTCAAAACTTTGGTGTCAGTTCCACTGTAAAGCCTGGTCCCAAAAATCTGCCAGGTCCAGGAGCAAGCCTCTTCACAATAAAAGGGCCCCACACCAATTCCAGCCATCTGGTCCCAGGATATTATGTTGCCTGGATCCAAAACTTTGTATCCAGGGACTAGACACTAGAGTTTCATTCCCTGACCCCGCCTCGCTTCATGCTGTCAAATATGCCATCCTCTCCTTATAGACGAACGAACCATCTTGTTGCTTTAGGTCACCTCCTTTCTTCTGGATTCGGTCACTCCTGGGCTCCTAAAAGCTAGGAAATCAACTTCTCACCAAGTCTACTACAACTCTTTATAGGCTTACTTTGTCACGGGGCTAGGAAGTTCCATTCTAGGAAACACTTTGTGGGACAAATCCTGTCTTTTTTCCAGTCTGAATTAGCGTTTGGCCTTGAGTACCACAAAGGGTTACATTGTGGCCTTAGAAGTTCTTTTTCAGAGGTCGTTACCTTCTCATTTCTTAGAGAAGGCCTTCATACAGGGTGTTGGACATCTGCATACCTTCCTGGACACGGTCCTTCACAAATTGCTGGAGCTTACCAAAGGTGTATTACTACTGGGAGGGATTTAGTCCAGAGTCCTTGATACCTTCTCACGGAAGTCTTATATCACAGCAGCCTTGAAACACGTTAGGAAATCTCTGCAAAGAGTAAAGTTGTTGGACTGTTCGAGGTAGCTTCATGCCTCGGAAAAATACTGTATAGACTATTATTATTATTCTTTAGAATTGACTTGATGTGCCCATAAATGCTTGGATGTGTTGCTATCGGTGGATATTCAACAGATCACTATTTCAATCTACCTGAAATTTGCTGGGGCACATTCCTGGGAATGGACTTGGAGACGGAATGAAAATATTTTAGATGATGTAGGGGTAGACGGTTATATGAGATTGACCTTGCAGACTTCCTTTAGAGGAGTTGTTGCAGGAGATTCTCTGGGACGCTCACAAAGCTGTGATTAGGGGAAAAATAAAAGCCTGTGGAACGGGACCTAAACAAGAAAGGCAGGCTCACATTTCTAAACTAATTTAACAACTTGGAAAACTGAGACAGTGGCACAAGAAAAGAGGAGGAGTATCAATTGACTCATGTGGCAGTGTACTGTCAGACCAGCAGGCACAAAGAAAATTTAGATCTATGGCACAACATTTTTAAGAATATAGAAAAAAAAGTGGTAGGATGTACTAAAGAAATGGGTGGAAAAAATGTATATTCATAAGTTGATTATATCTTCAGGGGAACAGGTTATAAAAGGAAGCCGGGCTGCGAGTCATTACACAGCACTCTGATTCCTGGGCCAGAAAGGCGGCTTCATGCTTCGTGCCGTGTAATGACTCGCAGCCTGGCTTCTTGATTGGCCAGCTTCTTGACCAATCAGGAAGCCAGGCTGCGAGTCATTACCCGCCTCTCGGCTTCCTAATTGGCCAGAAAGCCAGCTCCATGATTCCTTGTCACCTAGTGATGAAATGGCATGGAGACCGCTTCCCAGCTGATCGGGGAGCCGTGTGGTGAGTCATTAGATGCCACCTAGCTTACTTAATGGGACTTCTGGTATCGGCAAGTACCGGAAAAAGAATATTAGTACTCATATTCAATACTGAAAAACTGGTATCTGTGCATCCCTAATAGGTACTATTAATAGTCAGCAGAGCCAGCTGTCAATCCCGCAGCTAGGTGGATCTTGACAGTAATGTCGGGATCCGTCCCGGCTGCGGCGGTCTCAGTATACCTCAAGCAGTAGCTCACGGTATACTGAGTTTGTGTCCTCCCTTGACCCTTGGGAGAACTATGGGGAAAAACACGTACCCCATAGTTCTCCCTTAAGATTGCAGGCTGGTGGTGTTTTTAGTGTGCGTGCGTGTGCTCTCTTTTAAGGGTATACTTTGGGGTTTGATGAAGATGGAATGACATTGATAGGCTTATCTGGAGTAATTTCCTCTTTGAAATATACTTGTGCAGATATGAATGTAATCTGTTATCTCTATATTTAACAGACAATTGTTGCTTTTCCAACAGTAAATAACAATGATTGCAGTTTACCATCTAATCCACTAATTGTAGCATTGTTGCTCTGACATAAATACTATGCTGTGAACATGTAAAAAAAAATGAGTACACGTGTTTGTGTTGAATGAGCAGGGTGCAAAAAATAATTTTATTATAGTGTGTTCTTTATTTTGTACAAATTTAATAATATTTATTCTGAAATGCATTTATTACATTTTGTTTTATATTCATTTTAATTTTTACAGATGATCATTTGGCTGGAGAAAACACTTGACAAAATAATAAGCATATTCATAATATTTTTCCTCGTTATTGGGACTCTCCTTTTAGCCTTACTTTTGACAGCAAAGGTAAAGTATACATTTAAAATGTTTTTACTTTTTTAACTAGATTAATTCAACTTTTTTTTTTTTTTAAAGGTGCCCATACTTTCGCATATCATTGAGATGTCTATTTTATTTTAGAGGATACTGCGTAATTCTGAGCCCCATTTGCAGTATAGTCGTTTTATTAAATTATCAACCCAGTTATACAGTACACTGCCCTTTCCTTGGCAGTTCCAGTTTTTAAAAATCTGATGCAATCCTTTTCACGTTATCACAACAATATGCCTTTAAGGGAATATATACACTGCAAAATCTAAAAAGGCTTTCCTTTTAAATCTTTATAGGTTCATGACGAAAGTGTTCATATTATTGGAGTGACCAGCAATCTGATCAATGAAACTGTCTCCAATCATCCAGAATGGGCAAAGTAAGAACACTGAGCTGATTATATAGACTGTTATAACTCTTTTTTAATAGAACTGTGACAGTTTTTTTTAAACAAATTTTAAGTACACCACATAACAGACTCCTTGTCCATAGAAATAATTTATGTATAGGTGATTAAGGTGTCCCGGTTCTGTGATCCAATGATCCTGTTTGCAGGTAACTGAAAGCCCCCATGCTGGCACTTTTCTTTCAAGTCATGTTGTCAGAACAGAAGAGTTGGCTAGTGGAGAATTTGCTTGGTATGTTAAATCTCAGTTGCTTGATAAGGTGAATTAACTTATTAACTGGTGAAAGTCATTTGGAGAACATTTTCCACCCAGCATGCTCATCTTGCTAAGTAAAAAATGCCTCATGTGAAAGAATTTATGTGAAAGAATTGCTACCTATTGTATAACATATTACACTGTACTGGTCATAAAATTATAGGTTTTCTTCCTGACGAAATCAGAACTTTATTATCCATCAGTGTATCTTCTCCAGAACTGTTCTATCTTGTTTTACTGTGACCAAGAATCTTAGATCTGGCATGCTTAGATCTGGGAAGCACCAAGTGACAAGGAAGCATGGAGCCGGCACTCTGGCCAGTCAGGAAGCTGGGGGCACGGGTAATGACTTGCCGCCTGGCTTGCTGATTGGCTAGTCAGGAAGCTGGGGGCGCGGGTAATGACTTGCCGCCTGGCTTGCTGATTGCCCAGCGTCCCGACCAATCAGGAAGCCGGGCAGCGAGTCATTACACACCGCCCGGCTTCCTGATTGGTCAATCAGGAAGCTGGGCATCTTGTAATGACTCGCCGCCCTGCTTCTTGATACCGGAAGTTCCAGTATCGGGTTATGCATCGGGAGCATTTGGGCGAGTATGAGTACTCGCCAGAATACTCGGTATTGGCACCAATACTAGTACTGGTATCGATGCATCCCTAGTAAATAGTCAATGAGTTTGTTAGCTTTCAGGTGCATGCACTGAGCAGGCTAGATACTGAGCCACGGGGAGCCAAAAAAAACTGTCTCAAGACCTGCGCATCAAGGTAATGGAACTCTATAAAGATGGAAAAGGATATAAAAAGATATCCAAAACCTTGAAAATGCTAGTCAGTACTGTTCAATCACTTATTTAGAAGTGGAAAATTCGGGGATCTCTTGATACCAAGCCAAGGTCAGGTAGACCAAGAAAGAGTGCAGCCACAACTGCCAGAAGAATTGTTCAGGATACAAAGAAAAACCCACAGGTAACCTCAGGAGAAATACAGGCTGCTCTGGAAAAAGACGACTGGCACAATACGACAATACTTGAAACAAAATGAGCTGCATGGTTGAGTTGCCAGGAAAAAGCCTTTACTGCGACAGTGCCACAAAACAAACCTGGTTGCAATATGCCCAACAACACCTTGACACGCCTCACAGCTTCTGGCACACTGTAATTTGGAGTGACGAGACCAAAATAGAGCTTTATTGTCACAACCATAAGCGGTATGTTTGGAGATGGGTCAACAAGGCCTAAAGCGACAAGAATACCATCCCCACTGTGAAGCATGGTGTTGGCTTACTGATGGGTTTTTTGGGAGGGGGGTGTGTGCTTTAAAGGCAGTGGGAATTTTGGCAAGATGAATGCAGCATGTTATCAGTAAATACTGGCAGACAATTTGCATTCTGCACGAAAGCTGCACATGGGAAGCTCTTGGACTTTCCAGCATGACAATGACCCTAAGCACAAGGCCAAGTTTACCCTCCAGTGGTTACAGCAGAGAAAGGTGAAGGTTCTGAAGTGGCCATCACAGTCTCCTGACCTTATTATCATCAAACCATTCTGGGGAGATCTCAAACGTGCAGTTTATGCAAGACGACCAAAGACTTTGCATGACCAAGAGGCATTTTGCCAAGACGAATGGGCAGCTATACCACCTGCAAGAATTCGGGGCCTCATAGACAACTATTACAAAAGACTAAGTTAGTCTTTTAATATATTCCCAATCTCCACCAGAGTAGTGCGCTTACTACTGTTTGTTTTATTATTACAAAAGACTGCATGCTGTCATTGATGCTAAAAGGAGCAATACGCAGTATTAAGAACTAAGAGTATGCAGACTTTTGAACAGGGGTCATTTCATTTTTTCATTTGTTGCCATCTTTGTTTTATGATTGTGCCATTCTGTTATGACCTACAGTTGAATATGAATTTCATAAGAAATAAAATGAATGTGTTTTGCCTGCTCACTCATGTTTTCTTTAAAAATGGTACATACTGTATATTACCAATTCTCCATGCAAACTGTTGAACACAACTGTACATATCTATATGTGATCTCTTACCCAGTGCTATGCAGCAAATGTTACCCCCTGTTACAGCTCACCAAATCTAACCAGGTTGCTTTATAAACATTTGAATGTAGTTAGTCAAATGTTCCCTAATTGAACATTCAGTTACTGTCTCGTACAATTTTCTTTTCTTTCTCATTCATTGTGGGACACAGGAAGTCTTCAGTTTATACTCCCATCTACAGGAGGGTGGGGCAGTGGCAAACAAACTGTAAGCCAACCAAGGATAACCCCTCTACCTAGTAGTGTGTCCTATGAGGATGGACATCTTTTCTTACGATCTGCTGTGTGCAACACTATCTTATTTTTGCTAGCACCTTTTTTTCGTACACTTCAACATATTTCTACTTCAATAAAGACAATAAAGCTGCAGGGCGCTTTACAGGTCCAGAACTTCTTTTAAATGCCTACCTTTGGCAACATTTCTGATTCTAGACAAGGGGAAACAGTCCCGCTGTAATGGGTGCCCCCAGCTAAGATTCTGCTAATGGCTCTGGGGCTGCTTGCAGCACCTACTGACATGCTGACATCTGCAGTCTAGAATCCTGTTGCTTCTAGAGTTTTTTTCATTATTGGAGTCGCCTTTAGCTCCTTGTGTTGTAGACGGGTTCTCTGCCCTTTTGGTTGAAGTTTTTTTTACTACAGTTTCATATATCAGCGTTCCAGCTGACCTGCTACTTATAATTCTACACACATGACACGCTATTCTTTCACTTGTAGTTCTGTGGTCTTCTCCTAACTGGCTGTTGCATTAGTCTGGCATTTTTATGTATTAACCACTTATTTCAAAGACCTAACTTACCTGTGACATTGCCTGCCTTTTGCTTACCTGGATTGACCTGAATACTCTGCTGTCTGCCTTGACCCGTGCTCGGACCTGGCTACTCCTCTCTTGATTGCTCCTTGCCCCCTGGTTGTTTTCTCAACTTTCCTATGTCTCATCTGGCCCTCTAAGGTCTTCTGGACAAGGGGGTCATTCGCCAGTTCCTGTGGCAAAACAGTTTTAAGAATTTTACTCCATCCACCGTTCCCAAGGCCAAAGGGGGCATCTCAAAACTCTGTCTTTATTCAAGCTCAGAAATTCCACATGGAACAACTCTTTCTCCTCAGAGAGCTTAACACTTCTCTGAACCCTATTGTTCCTATATCGTTCGCATAATCTTTCCCATCTTTACTCTTTCTTCTCCTTTCGGTCTCAGCTAGGGATGTCCTGATACCATTTTTTCAAGACCAAATAAAAATACTTTCCCTCATGTACTTGCCGATACCAATTAGCAGTACTTTTTCTTAAAGGGACATTTGACATTTTTTTCTAAAACAATACAGACTAATGATTTTAGGGCAGTTTCTTTATAATTATAAAGAAGTGTAACTCAATCCATGATTATTCAGCAATAGAGAATGGCAACCAGCTATAGAGGACTAAAAATCTCAGCAATCCATGATTATTCAGCAATGAAGAATGGCAACCAGCAATCATGGATTGCTGAGATTTGTAGTCTTCTATAGCCGGGTGCCATTCTCTATTGCTGTATAATCAATGATTATACAGCAATGGAGAATGGCACCCGGCTATAGAGATTTCATCAATCCATGATTATACAGCAATTATACAGGGTTGTGTGCAGCATGCACCAGGGCTGCGTTTGGGTCTTACCAGGGATGCATGCAGATCTCGCCCAGGGCTGCATTTGGGTCTCACCAGGGATGTGTTTGTGTCTCACCAGGGTTGCGTGCAGATATCACCTGGGCTGCGTTTGGTGTCCCCCCAGGGCTGCAATTGGGTCTTATCAGGGCTGCTTTTGGGTCTCACCAGGGCTGCATACAGGTCTCACCAGGGATGCGTGCCAATCTCCCCAGGGCTGCGTTTGGGTCTGGGCAGGGCTGGGTGCAGGTCTCACCAGGGATGCCATGCAAGTCTCACCAGGTGTGCATGTGGGTCTCTCCAGGGCTCTCTGGGCGGGTGCCAGGCTCTCCAGGACTCTGCATGTGGCTGCTATGCTCTCTAGGGCTGAACAGGTGGGGTCCAGGCTCATGCCATGCTCCAGGGCTGTGTTGGTGGGTGTGGGGCTGTCCTGTCCTGTGCTGTGCCGGCGCCGGGAAGGAGGAGGAGGTGGCGATGTGCAACTGGACAGGCACTATCAAAGACACCTGCCATAGGACCCCATCACGCTCAGGACCTCAGGCAACGGAACTTCCTGAAAAATGTAAAGGCCCAATATTGGCCTTTAGTATCTGGGCATTTTAGGGTGCCATTCTCTATTGCTGTATAATCAATGATTATACAGCAATGGAGAATGGCACCCGGCTATAGAGATTTCATCAATCCATGATTATACAGCAATTATACAGGGTTGTGTGCAGCATGCACCAGGGCTGCGTTTGGGTCTTACCAGGGATGCATGCAGATCTCGCCCAGGGCTGCATTTGGGTCTCACCAGGGATGTGTTTGTGTCTCACCAGGGTTGCGTGCAGATATCACCTGGGCTGCGTTTGGTGTCCCCCCAGGGCTGCAATTGGGTCTTATCAGGGCTGCTTTTGGGTCTCACCAGGGCTGCATACAGGTCTCACCAGGGATGCGTGCCAATCTCCCCAGGGCTGCGTTTGGGTCTGGGCAGGGCTGGGTGCAGGTCTCACCAGGGATGCCATGCAAGTCTCACCAGGTGTGCATGTGGGTCTCTCCAGGGCTCTCTGGGCGGGTGCCAGGCTCTCCAGGACTCTGCATGTGGCTGCTATGCTCTCTAGGGCTGAACAGGTGGGGTCCAGGCTCATGCCATGCTCCAGGGCTGTGTTGGTGGGTGTGGGGCTGTCCTGTCCTGTGCTGTGCCGGCGCCGGGAAGGAGGAGGAGGTGGCGATGTGCAACTGGACAGGCACTATCAAAGACACCTGCCATAGGACCCCATCACGCTCAGGACCTCAGGCAACGGAACTTCCTGAAAAATGTAAAGGCCCAATATTGGCCTTTAGTATCTGGGCATTTTCAGGAATACAAGTACTCCTACAAATGCCCTGTATTGGCCCCGATTATCAGGACATCCCTAGTCTCAGCTTCAACTTCTTTCCCTTTTTACTTCACTCTCTCCCCTGCTTTGCTTCCTTTTCTCTCTCTCAGATTCTGATTATACTCAGCTTAATAGTTAAAGTTCTGCATGATCCATGCTCCTTTATGACTGGTCACTTCAAGTTTACATATTCCACATGTATGATAGATGCCTAAAAACATAGAGGGAACAGAAGGGAATAGCTATGCAAAACTTTGCTTCCACGTACCTACACCACTTTTGCTTCTTGTTTGTTATTACTACTTCCAAATGGCTTTTCTATTGTGTCAAATGTTTCTATGACCTGCTCACATGTTTGTTGGCACCTTTAATCTGTTCAAAACTAAATTACAAACTTTTGAAAATGAAATTCCACATTGAATTAACCAGGTCTGTGCTCGCCTCCCTTAACCAGGGAGGCTTTATGACTTCTGTTTTACATCAAGGTTACGTACGTGTATGTTTCTAGCTTTTAGACTTTGCTTTGGGGCCCCTACACTGCTAGTTCGTGGCCCTGCTCTTCATCTTCTTGTTTGCACCTTGGGTGTTCAGCAAGGTGCTGGCTTCAGTTTTAGCTCTCCTGTACTCTCATGGCATTCCCATTGTGGGATACTTAAATCTCCTGTTGAGGTAAAAGTCAGCATGGGCTCTCATGGGCAACACCGCTTTTACTTTACAGAAATTACAGCAGTTTGGATGAATCCTGAACCTTCAGATATCAGCACTGGAACCAACTCATTGTTTCAAAAGTTCTAGTTATAGTCCTGGACACAGGTTAGACCAGAGTGTATTTTCATAGAAGAAACTTCAGACTCTCCAATCTCAGATTCAAACTCTCCAGCCTAAGAGTCATCTGACACTCCCTTTTTGCATGAGAGTTTTGGGCCTGATGGTAGCCTCCTTCGGGGCAGTTCCATTTGTCCAGTTTCACTCCAGACCTCTACAACGCAACATTCTGTTGTAGTGGGACAAGCCAGTCAAATCCCTGGACAAAGTGATTAATTTACCACCAAGGACCAGGTTGTCCGTGGCCTCTTAGCTCAGTATTTTGGCTCTGCAGCCAGTGGAGTCCTTCCTTTCCATCTACTGAAAGATCCTCATGTCAAATGCCAGCCTGTCAGGCTGGGTAGGAGTCTTGGGCACTTTGCACTGTTGGTGCAAGAGACTTGATTGATGGATGAGTCTTCGTCAGGAATCTTCGTCCTGGAACTTCAGTCAATTTGGCTGTCTCTGCAGCTTTTGACCATCCTGCTGAAAGGTCATCCAATCCAGATTCATTTGAACAACACAATGACAGTGACATACGTCACGCATCAAGGAGGAACCAGAAGTCTCTGGGTGCCAGGGGAGGCAAACTGGCTTCTGTCCTGGGCATAACTTTGTTTTTCCACCTTGTTTGCCATTTACATCCCAGATGTAGACAATAGGCAGGCAGGGGAGTGGTCCCAACACCCAGAGGTATTCCAGGACTTATGTTACAAGTGTAAGATGCTAAATATAGACCTTCTGGCCTGTAGGTTCAACAACAAACTAGGCAGGTTTGTTCTCGGGTACATGAATCCTTTAGCGCAGTGGTTCTCAACCTGTGTAACCTCAGGACCCACATTTGTCCTTGGTCATTAAGTCGCGACCCAAAAATAGTTTCACATTCGCAGTGATACCTAACCTGTATGGCACAATCGTCCTTTAAGTACACACGCATGCCCCATGTGCACGTGTTTATTTGCAGGCAGATGGTAGGGCGGCAGGGTTGGTTTTAATTTCTTTTTTTAAATTTTTATTATTTTTTTATTGGGTCGCGACCCATGAGTTGAGAACCACTGCTTTAGCGGAATCAGTGAATGCCCTGGTAACTCCAAGGGATCAGTACACTTTTCTCTATGCCTTTCATCCCATGGAATGTCTTCCTCCCTTGCTTTGCATGAGATGGAAGGCATTCTGTTGATCCTCATTGCTCACAAATAATTTACCATCCTGCTTCACAGCTACTGGTTTTAACGGCTTGGCTGTTGAAGCCTAGGTTCTGAGGGACAGGGGCACCTGTGTGATTCCTATTATATCAAAGGGAGACTTTGTTTCTGTTTAGGAAAGGACAAGTAATTAAATGGTTATATAAACCCTTCCTTGCAGGTATGGGTTGCATTTCTAAATGCAGGACTTCTATATATCAAAGTTACCATTAAAAATAGATGATATTCTAAAAATAATTGTGCACCCTGGTGTAATTCCAGTCAGCAGTTCTTGCCATTCATAATATATGATTGGTTATAATATATAATGGCCCTCACCATTCCATTACCATGACTCATATAAAATATCTGTAATAATATGATAATGTGTGTCTCTGTGATAGCTATTGTATTATACACTTTCTTGATATTTCACAAATTTCCTCCTTGCTTCTTTTTAGGTACACTTAGCTTTGCAACTCTAGATATAATATTTTCTTTAAAATTTGTGTTTAAACAGTTGGCTACCTGAAGCAAAGGTTGTCCAGACAGCTCTCAACTCTGCTGCAAACAATGTTTATCAGTATGGCAGAGAATGGATTACTAATAAGGTATGCATGCACATTGTTTTTTCCATTTTAGGTTGAAATTGGAAATGGATTAATGCAAAACCATTTGCAGGGTGGCAGTTATAAAGTACTCATATGCAAGAAATAACAGTCACCTGATCTGACTGCTATTAACTGGATCAGACAACAGTATCTTTAAATTGGGTTGATGGCTCTTGGAGAAACAGTTATTCAGACTAGTCCAAAAACCTGTTTCAATCACTGGTGTTGCCTCTAATAAGCTTCCAGAAGCAGCATTTTCCTGGCATACACTGTTTTCTTCAGCTTTGCATAACATAAACGAAAACGCTTTGTGCTTATTCACGACAGGATATGATGTAGTAATACATGCTCTGCAACACACTTGATCATGCTTTGTGGTGCACTAAGTGCACTGTAGTGCAGGTACATTCTGTAGATCTTTTAAGTGCCATACAAAATGAATGGCACTGCAACGTATTGCAACGTGATTGCTGCGCTACCATTTGTTGGGGTAAGAGGCATTTTACTATGCGTTACTTTAACATGATGATATAAACAGGCCCCTAGTAGAGTGTTCATTTGAGGGCTGATAAGGAAAGCTTTGGTGTGCCAATATGTCACTCTTTAACATCTATGGCTAATCCTGGTCTCTTAGGAATTTTTTTAGAAACTTACATTTAAAACTCTGTGAAAACAAAAAAACACCCTTGCAGTGGGGCCTCCACAATGCAAGGGTTAAGTCTAGTGGAGAGGAATAAGGAGTAATACTAACCTTTTTTCCCCCACTTTGGTAGGCACCCTCCATTTGTGTGACTGGTGCCCTGAAGCCTCCTATCTAAGGCGCTTCTAATCATGGTTGCACACTTGCCTCCTCCATATACAGTGCAGGGCTGAGAGCCCTGAGTATTTGGAGGAACCACGCGGGGCTTCAGGAGGAGAGCATCGGAGCCAGGAGAAAGGTAAGTAATACAGCCTCTTCATCTCCCAAGTCACGAAGGGGTTAAATGTTGAAGGACAGCTGTGTCTGTGTAGTGACCATTCTAGTCTCTATGAAGGTATACTGCGCAAACACAGTCTTTGCTAAAAAAGATTTGTGCCGCTATAAACATTGCAGGAGGCTTTGGCTTTTCTACTGAAGTAAGCACTTGTAGTAAGGAGTTTGGTACAGATACGTTCATGAGGGCTAGGGAAGGTGGGTTAGTGTTAGGTTTGTAAAAACTTTTCTGGATAGGAGAGCACACGCTACTGATAAGTCGCATACAGCCTGTATTCAGGACAGCACAGGCTCGAGCTGTGCTCCTAATCACTTGTTTGGTGGAGAGAGGGACAGGGGAGGGAGGAGAGTTGCATTATGTCCTATGGACGCAGGCAGAAGAAGGAGGAGGTATCTGTGGTGCTGGCTGGAACGTGCACGCAAAGATGTCTCCAGGGAAGCCTGTAAGGGGCAAGAGACACCTGAAACCCAATCCGGGACAGAGAGCATTTTCAAATGGGTAAAGAAAATCAACCACAGCGCTAAAAAGGAAAGCACATTGCAATGATTGTAAGTGCTGAGATCTGCTGTAATATGTATTTTACTTGTGAGCGTGTAATATCACTTTAATGTCTGAATTTATTTACAGCTGCACAAGGTACTAGGAGAAAAGGTTAACAACACCGCTATAATTGAGAAACAAGTTCTAGAACTCTGGGACAGACTGTACCATTCCTGGATCACAAAGGTATTTTACGTAGTAAAATATGTATATGATAGATATGTCAACAGTCTATTGGTCTATTATCTTATTGGCACATTGGTGATAAGATTTGCCACAACATTTATAAGGGAAGCCCTTTCTTTTTGTTGGATTTTCTATATTATGGAAAATGCAAAAAGAGTGCTGATATTGTAAGACCCATGGGTGGGCTGAAACAATTTCTGGAACTATGGCAGAAAGATCTTCTCGCTGGAGATCACAAGAGACTCAGCTTTCCAGGTTCTACCGATATCGGAAATATTATCTTTTAGATGATTGACAATTTAATTAATAGTTTCTAAACCTACTGTTTGTGTATGTGATTGACCTTCTTCTTCATGACTAAAAATTACAATGAGGGTAACTGCAATAACAGACTTAGGGGATCTTATGTACAGATCACCCATGAAAACCAGAAGCAATTGAAAAAGTAAGCAGGACCAGCAAAACAAAGAAAGAAAAAGTTAAACAAACAAACAAACAAACAAACTCTACAGTCATGTGAAAAATTAGGTATAATCCTTGTAATTTGGCGACTTTTTCAACATATTTTAACAGGCAAGCATTATATCTTTATTCAAACAGTGCCTACAGATAAAGGTGATATACTGAATAAGAACACAAGACAAAAATATCAATAAATATAATGGTGTGCTGTGGGAAAGTAAAACAAGCAAAACAAATGGCAAACGCACTCATCAATTTGTCACAAGCTGTGGGAAAGTAAGTACACACTTCATCAAAAGCTGGTAATGCCCCCCGTTAGTAGAAAATACTTTTGCATAACTGCCTACCAGTCCCTGACATTGACATAGAAATTTCCGACCACTTCTCCATGCAAAATTCCTTTTGTTGTGAGATGTTTGCAGGTTTTCTTGCATGAGCTGCCTGTTCCAAAAGCCCCCTACAAGATTTCAATGGGAATGTCATAACCCTCTATTTCTTCTTTTGTGAGCCATTCATTGGTGGATTTGCTAGCGTGCTTCGGATCATTATCATGTTGAAAGACCCATTGCCTCATTCTCGTCAAGCAAAACTTTGATATGGTGCAGTATAGCGGACTCCATGAGTGTAAACTGCCCAGCACAACCCCAAACCATAACATTTCCACCACTATGCTTCACAGTTGTTGTGTGGTTCTTTTCCTGGAATGCTGTGACCAAACAACTTTAATCTTCAGCACATTGTTCCAGAAGGCCCCTGATCGTTGGCTATATGTTATATGGCAATCCGTAGTCTTGCTCTAATGTTCTTTTTTGGACAGCAAAGGTTTTTTTCTTAACACACCATGCAGGGTAAATTGGTGCAATCTCTTTCTGATTCTAGATGGATGCATTTTGACTCCAGCTGCTGCAAGATTTATCTGAACACCCCAAGATGAGATGCGTGCGCTTTTATGCAACACAATTAAAATGCGTGATGCCATTGTGGTGCCATTGCGGTGCCATTGCTTGTTAATGACACCCCAAATGCGGCTGGTAAACCGTTCCTCTTTGCCCATGCATTGACCTGCACCAAACGTGCAAAAACAAGTGGTAAAAATAGTCTTAAGCTCGCAGCTCAAACTGCCGCATGAGCTTCTTTCATGCGTTTGTCGCACATGGGGCAACACATTGAAATGAATGGGCTAACACTCGGTAAAGCACACACAAACACAATGCATGGTCTCGTGAGCCGCAAGTGTGAACGGGGACTCTGTTGATCATTGCATGATGACACCACACACTTCAGTAGCAAAGAGAACACCAAATCGTAGAGGTTTAAATAAAACATGTTCCACCTGCATACCTAACTAAGGAGGTTATAATCATTGGAACCTTATCTAATCTGGAATCAATTATAGTTTTTTGGGGGTTTGAAGTTGTTTTTGGAGTGTACTGATTTTTATCATACGGCAAATTTACATTGCCGTTCATTTAGATCAAGAAAAAGATACACTATGTCCGTTTTATGCTTCATTTATAGTATATCAGCTTTATTTGTAGGTGCTATTTGAATCAAGATCTGCTGTACAAATATGTTAAAAAAGTCAACAGTTTCCATTATTTTATTTTTGTTTTACCCTCTTATGTTTGTTTACCTTTTTCTTTTTTGTTTTGCTGGTCCTGCTTAACTTTTCAAGCTCTTCTGGTTTTCATAGGTGATCTGCACATAGGATCTCCTATATCTGCATTGTGTTTACTCTTATTGTAACATTTAGTCATGGACAAGACTTTTTACAGAAGCCTCAGAAAATGAATAAATAAATCTGTGTATTTAGTACAAAACATGTTATTTGCTGAAGCCTACAGGAAGTTGAAGGCCATCACCTGTATAACAATGCCTCTAATCATCATGCCTTATTTTTCTGCTAGTGTTCTAGGAAGTTGGACACTTTTTCCTTAGTTGTGCAGAAAAAAGTCTAACTATAATTAATTCAGTCAGACAATCAAAGCGGTAATACTTCAATCAAGATCCTTGATACAGCACTGATAATTATCTTCTGTGAGTTCATTCAAGACCTCCACACCGCTGCCTGAGCTAGTCTGTACATAGAAGCACCAAGTGGTTCTCCCATCCAATTCCTTTCCATTGCCCACCTATAGAGACAGCAGCCTAGCCTCACATTGGGCCTACTTGCTGATGGCCATGTGACACATCATGTCTTCTCAAAGACAAACAAAGCACAGTCCTACTGCTTTAGGTGACTTCAGCCCATACTTCCCTAATGGGTCTTCGGGCGCATTTACCAAGTGTCCCAGCTATTATCTCCGGCAGAGTTTGTTTCTGATCACCCTCGTTCTGAATCAGATGACTCAGAATTCCAGTAGTCGGGAGTGGTTGCTTGTGGATCTCCGCAGTTTTCTGCAATTGACTGATATACAATGGGTTGTTTCAAATGTTATTGATGCAGACTGACTCACCCTGCATTTGGAGGATCAGCCTGCTGTTGACTTTGGGTCTTTTAATGCTCTTAAGTCTCCATACACCTTTCCACTTCACCCCGCCTGAGGGCTTCCTCTATGCAGCCTGGAAATATCCTGTAGGGTCCTGGGTCCTGGGCACCTTTTTGTTGTTCTTGTAAGATTATTTGTGCTATTTAAAAATATAGATCACCTGTCCTTTTCTCAGAATTAGCCTTAGTATGTGTATTTATATGGCAGGGACTAGTAACCTGCTGTGGGGTGCAAGAACTGATGTAAACGGGGGTCTATATATTTTTTAAAGTGCAGAGCAATATGTTGGTTCTATACTGTATACAGGTGAAACTCGAATAATTAGAATATCGTGCAAAAGTTCATTTATTTCACTAATGCAACTTAAAAGGTGAAACTAATATATGAGATAGACTCATTACATGCAAAGCAAGATAGTTAAAGCCGTGATTTGTCATAATTGTGATGATTATGGCTTACAGCTCATGAAAACCCAAATCCACAATCTCAGAAAATATGAATATTGTGAAAAGGTGCAATATTATAGGCTCAAAGTGTCCCACTCTAAAGACATTATAATAAATTACATGCTGAATACCTGGGGTAGGTTTTCAGTATATGAAAATTAAATGATGTAGGAAGCCTCTGAGATTTACTTTTCCTATGTTAATAGACTCTTTGCTATTTCAGCTGTCATATTTCATCTTCTCGGTTGGTAGTTATTACTGTTGAAAGCGGTAGTACACATATTGTATTTGCATTGTTCTCTGATGCTTTATTTTGAGATTTAAAGTTTGTATATTCTTTTGGTAGAATGTGACAAACTCCAGCAGAAACAAGGGTCACAAGATGCAGATACAACGTCAGAACAGTTGGCTTGGAGACATCTTGGATTGGCAAGATATCGCTTCTTTTGTTCATGAAAATATTGAAACCTTTCTTTCGGTGAGACATTGATTCTATATTTTCTTTAGTTTTATGTTCTTAGTGTACACTTGTATTGTTAATATTTCACTCTTGATAACCCACACCCTCACCTACTATTTATTGCTTTCCCCACACTCCTCTCCTCCTTTTTTTCCTGCTTGTCAGTAAGTGCTAAAGCTTACAATGGGTTAATGACCTTTTCTCATCCTAGCATTTGGGCCTGGCAATTGAACACTGCTTCCTAGGAGGAAGGGGAGAACATCAGACTCTCCCCCATACCTGGAATTTAGGGCTTGTTCGCACCTCCTGCCGCCATGTGATCGCCCGCACCAGAGCGCATGGCACAGCAATGCCCGCGCTGTGGTTTAATCACAGAAAATTGTACATGCACCTACCCCCAGTCAATGTAGTAAACAGAACAGCCGCCGGAAGTCTGTTTACATGCGTAAAGCGGACAGCTGGCTTTACACTGGAAGTGATTCGGGCAGTTGTAAAGCTGAACGCTTCCACAGGCTGGCAAATGTGTTCCCATCTGGTACTACCCAGGCTCGGCTGCCCCTCCTGCAGGCCCAGGATTGACATCGCAGGTGTCAGTGGGTAGAGGAGAGAGAGAGACCATGAACATCCGTTCACTGGTCTCCCCACTGAAGGAAGCTGGAAGGGAAGATTGATTTCATTTTTTGTTTCTGAACTGTCATTCCCCAACCAAAGAAGGGGAAGAAGTGGATCAAGCATGGCCTGTCCTTGATCAGCTTCAATGGGCTGAAAAGGTTACATTAAGGGTCTAATAGACCCCTAATGCCTCCTTAGAGAGCACCTGTCATCACTAAAGTGCTATTACATAGAGGGCTTTTTTTTTTTAAACAAAAAAAGTTTTTTAAAATATTTTTAAAAACACCCAAAAAATGTTAAGTCCCCAGCCCCTCACATACTAATGCAAACACGCGTCGGGTGTGCCTACGTAAGAAAGCCACCATCGTATCACACATATTAGATATCTCCATGTATGCCAGAGTGAGAGCAATAAATCTAGGGCCATTTTTCACAGTTAAAGTGATATTAAAGTCAAAAGATTTTTTTTTTTTACGTTATGTCAAATAGAGTTAACAAACAGTAGTAAGAATGCACATGAACGTTTCCTTAGAATTTGGTCATGCTGGGGTTTTTTTTATAAGTCCACAGAGTCATATACATCAGTAATGCTTTCTTCTATGTGAAAAGGGAGATGAGTTAGATTATTTAATGCTTAACTCTCATCTCTCTTTATATTATAGTAGAGGAGAAGGCAAGGTATGTGTTATTGGATGATATTAAGAAGATGACATATATAAAGAGGAGGTTATAGTTGGAAAGGGCCGAGATGTGAGGGGTTTTTTTTTCCTTTCTTTGGAAAGAACACTTTGACGGTTGTGAAGTAAGAAAAATGAATCACTTCATTTATGGGGAATAGGGAGGGGTTTAAAGAGGATATAATTATTTTTGCACATTTTGGATATAATGGAGTGAGAGTAAATATAAACACACACATGAGTGTTCTAGTAAGAGAGTTATAGTAGAATCACGATAATTGTTTTTTTTTGCTTATTCATAGAGTACTTTTTCTTTGTAAAGAGTACCAAGTTTTTTCACTGAACACGTAGGGTCACATCATAGGTATTTTTTTATTTTTGTTTCCCTCTTAATCAGAGTATTTTTACTTTTGTAAAGATTTTTATTTTTTTCACTAAACACATATTTTCACATTCTAGGCATTTTTATTTTTTACACACATTATTCACTATTAATAAACACATTGTTATACTAAGTAAAAATATGTATATATTTTTTCTTTCTCCCATTCATAGTGTTTTTTTTTTTTTTTTTTAAAAATTTTTATTTCTTTTTTTAGTATACACTATTTACTTTTTGTGCACTATTTTTATACACATTTTGTTTACACTACCTATCAATAAACACACATTTTTTACACCTCAGGTAGGAATTTTTTTTTGTTCTTGTTTTTCTTTGTCTTTTGTCGTTTTTGAAATAAGAAGCTTACACGTGATAAACTATGTAAATATTTTTTATGCAATTAATGAATATTGTAGGGGGGTATTGAATTAGATGACCAACAGAAGGTCATGTCTTCCTGAGTTTTGTTTTGTTTTTTTACTTTGTTTTATTGTCTTATTTGATATGTTTAAGCCATGTTTGAAATTTCCAATAAAAACTTTTTTTTTTATAATTAATTTCAAATGCTGATTAAATCACTATAAATATTGCTTCTTGATGTTTAACAGTTTTAGCTTCCTGCAGAAACAGCTGGTCCTCTGTGCACTGGCCCTAAAATCCTGCTTTAGGCTGGCTCCTTTCCCTTGCTGAGTCGTATGGAGCCACCCTTGTGTGTGCTAATAATAACAATTCTCAGGGAAAGGTTTAAAAGTACAATGTACACCAAAAAAAAATATTACATTAATATTACTATTAGTACCTGAACACATATGGACATATCTGAAGTTTATGCAGCTTTTCTGTGCAGCCTCGTGGTCTGTGTTAAATGCCTTGGTAGGCAAAAGAAGATGCTAAATGTGCTCTATGTGTCCAGGGCCGTTGTCCATTGCAGTGGAATCCAGACCCTAAAGTCTCTCCTTTCCAGACCACGGCCCATCTCTCTAATGGGTTGATTTCTGTGTCTCCAGTTCAGTTTACCACTTTAGTGTTTTTTTCCCTTAATGTTTCCTTACAGGGTTATTACATTGAACCTGCACAACTCCCCCTGGAGTACTTGTTTTGTGCAAGCACCCACTATTTTGTCTCTCTCGGTGTGCACTCAACCTAGCCACATACTGTCTGCTGCTGCTGTCACTCTGCATGCTCTGCCTCGTTATACTACACCACTGCACACCTATGCCTTGGGTTACTGCCTTCCTACAGCTTTTGTGACACTACGCGCCCTCTTGTGTGCACATGACGGGCATGCGGTTGTGCACATGACGGACATGCGGTTGTGCACATGACGGACATCAGGAGCTGGGACACTGTAGTGGTTGCTCAGCGACCACTCAGCCTGACCATACTGCTGGCGAGAGCTCTAACCCTACTAGGGACACCTTTGTCACTAGTCCCATGCATTGCTCCTTGTCCCCTTCAATTTTGCCTCTGAAACCCTTAGGACCCCCTCCTCTCAGATTTTTCTAATGCCTGAGTTTATGGGAAAAAATGGCAGACCATTTTAGTGCTAAGCAACAAGCAGGTCCTCTCTCCCTTGGAGACCTCCTCTGACTCCCTACTGGCCTTTAATGCTACTGTGGAAGAGGAGGAAGACAATAACAAGGCATCTGCCTCTGAGGAATCTGTGTTCTATCCTCCTTCTCCACTTGCCCAACAATACCAAGTGGAGAAGACCTTTCTTACGAGGTGGGTGCTCCATGTGGTGGACCCTGATATTTCCTGTCTGAACTAGACTTTTACTGTCCCTGTCAAGGACAACCCTGTTTTTAGGAACTCCAAACAAAAGGTTGGAGGCCTGTTTGCCCTGCTGTTGCAACGAGTCTCCTCTCCATCCACATGTGGAGACTTATCTGACTTAAATGCTGGTCAATGGAGCTCCTATGCAAGAAGTTCCAAGAGCTCATGCCCTTTACCGGGCAACATCTTTTTGGCGAATCCTTGGACACCTACATCAAGGAGGTCACTGGGGGCAAAAGTACCTTTCTGCCCCAAAAGAAGTCAAAACCTCCTGTAGCTAAAGCTTCCACTTCCTCATTTTGGAAAGCTCCTTTTTTCCTTCCCAGGCTTCAGGCCCCTAGGTCAAAGCAGGGCTCCCAGTTTAGACATAGGGCCTGGTCTTTCAAGCCCTCCAAAGTCTTGGAGTGCCCCCATTTTCACAAGGTGGACGGACGTCTGTCATCATTCTCAGCTCGTTGGGCCCAAGACATCTGGGGTACCTGGGTTCAAAGTGTTTTTGCCAGGGCTTGCAAACTGAATTTCCACTCTCAGCCTTCCCCTCGTTCTTCAAAGACACGCGGCTCCTTTCACCGTGTTGGATCAGCTCCTTTATCATGGGGTCATCGTACCCACACTGAAGGCAGAAAAGTTTCAGGGGGTTTTCTTTGAACCTATTTATTGTCCCCAAGGCCAAGGAAGTGGCTCACCCTATTCTGGATCTAAAGATCCTCAACAGGTTCTTGTGAGTCCAAAAGTTCTGGACGGAATCTTCCCGATCTGTCATCACCTACCTCCACCCAGGTAATTTCCTAGCCTTGCTGGATATCAAGGATGCATACTTACACATCCCAATTTGTCCTGTCCATTGCTACCTGCATTTTGCTGTGGGCACCTGGCACTTCCAATTTTCTGCACTTCCCTTCATTCTGTCCACTGCACACAGAAGTCAATGCTGGAGCCTTGCATTGCCTGGAGTACCAGGGCCTAGTCTTAGACACTGCCTTTGCCAGAGTTTTCTTTCCCCTTTAGAAAATGCTATCTCTCCATGCTCGCGCTGGGACCTTAAAGCGACACTAAACTCAAAAATTAAATAATAAAAATAACTTCTAATATATAATCAATGACTGTGTACCTTATTTTGTTATTGTTCAGCTCGAAATGCTCCAAAATCCGGTTTATTTTTCTCCAGCCACAACTTCCTGCCAGATGGTGGCTACTTCTCCATGGTCCCTATGTGTGCTGAAAAGTAGCCACCCTCTGTGCTTTTTCATGTGAAGGACTACAGTCAGACATAAGAACTATGAAGCTCTCTCACTTCTCCTCTTTAGAATCCTCCCAGTCTCCGCCCACAAATCCTCCCCTCCAGACTCTGCACTGAGCTGTGATCACTGGGGTGAGCTAAATGTCTTGTGATGATTCTTATCTCAGCTGTTTTTTTTTTCTACACTACGTTTCTGAAGCAACCAACATAGAAATGACTGTCCCATTTCAAGCTGCTGCTATGTATTTCTACAAAAAAAACTCCCTATCAGCCATATCAATTCAGGCAAAAAGAATACCTGCAAAAGAGCATGAATACTTACCTTTCCCATTACACAGGATAAATGACATGGAGGTCTGTGGGAGGTACCACCGAACGCTGCGGGGGACACGGGATCGACACTCCCGGAAGTGTCCATCTCAGTAGACTTCAGATGAACATTGCTTTTGTATACAGTGGCGTATGACAGCCCAGGCAGCTAGAAAGGTAAGTATGCTGTCGTTTACAATGCATTTTAATGAATTTACAATGCATACATGTAGAAATTTAAAATGAATAACTTTATGTGCACCATTTTTACATTACACTAATTTTACACTGTTTATTAAATGTTGAACATGTGACACAAAACCTCTTTATGCTAAAATGATGAATTTTCTTGTTCTATGTTAGATACTGGAGTCCCTATGGATTGTAATGAGCCGAAACTTAAGCTTACTTTTTACTACAGTGACAACATTGTTTACAGTCATTTTCTACAGTGGCACTGCACTTCTCAATTTTGTCTTATCTTTGGTATGTATTTAAACATATATGATCTGTTTAATTGCCTGTATTTTCCTTAAAACTTCATGCATGGTCATTAAGAATACTTTGAAGCTACAATGTTTTTATCAAATTAAATTTTATGTTAAAAAGGATATTTAGACATCCTAATTTATTGCATGCACCAATAAGTAATTTTGTGGATTAGTCTGATCCAGCACATTGCTGGATGTGCTTGATCCTGTTTTAGTATTTACAGAAGTGTTACAAAAGTGTTAGTTTTTAGGATTTGGACACTGGCAAACAAAAAAAAAACCATCTAGTTTACAGGATTCTTAAGGATCAGGTTCCATACTGTCCTGTTACGGTCAGGGCACCTTCTACTAGATCTGTGATTGCTTCTTGGTTTTGCCAGCATTGGGCAGCTGTTTTGCAGATTTGCAAGACTGCCACGTGTTTTTTTGTTAACATGTTTTCATGTTCTCACAAGTTTTATCAGGTGGATGTCCATGGCCTTATCTGATGCCAGCTTTGGGTGTAAGGTTTGTCAGCCAGCTCTCTAATTGGAAAACACATACTACTATTCTCCCACAATGTTAGGTGAATGGTAGAAGAGTGGGTTAATGACAGGATCTCAATTGCCCATTCATAGAACAAGATGCATTGTGGGAGAAAATAGTTGTACAAGTTCATTGAATTGAGGAGAGGGCATCAAGGGCAAGGCAAACAGTACAGCTCTTCACACAAGCAGCTGCTGCAGTTGACTCATACAGCACTGCTCAAGCCAATATCCCCAACATTACTCAACTTCGGCTTTAAAGATCACAGAATTTGTCTATCTTTACAACAGTGCCAGCATGTTTATGTTGTCTTCTTTGGGTGACTGTATAACTTTCTGTGCTCTAAACCTGCACTGTCACTGTACATTGCTATGCTACCATCATATGTTAGGATCTTTTTCTAGTGGTTTGTGTAAAAATGTTTATTGTATTAGAATTCACATATTATATATATCTAACTATATATAATATGTATTAGGGATGCACCGATAGCGTTTTTTCGTTATCGAGTACGAGTGCCAATATTTTTTTTTTCATTACTCGGCCTACCAATAAGTGAAGCTGGCTTCCTGGCCAATCAAGAAGTGGGGCGGCACCGGCACCGATACTATTATTTACATACACATAAGCACAAAACTGTAACAATTGATAGCCGTGCCTAGATGGGCAATTTCAGTCAGTGAAAATGCCAGGCTTGTATCTTGCTTCCTTTTACGAGCATATTTAATTGTTCTAAGTCATAACTGAGTATGGTAAATGCTCATACGTATTTGCAAGAGAATTTTATGAGCATTTTCCAGTATTTCTATAGACGAAGATGGGAGGTGAAATGCTTGGACATACTAGAAAGAATAAAAGAAGCAGGAACGTTTTAAATTGGCTCTAAACAAATGCATTTGAACACATTAAAAATAAAACTATACAGGCTAAAACGTTTGTATGATCATTTATATGTTCTGTGTTTTATAGATTATTTTTCTTACGACACTGTTCTACCTCCTGAGTTCCAGTGATGAATACTACAAGCCTGTAAAGTGGGTTATAAGTCTTACTCCACTCTCTCAGCCTGGCCCTTCATCCAATATCATTGGTCAGTCAGTAGAGGAAGCAATAAGGTATGATCTTCAATTTTTTTTTCTTTTCTTAGCAAGACCACTTAGCTTAAGTCAAAACATTTTTTCATATGGCTGTGCAAGCCATATCGGAACAGATTAAGCTGATGGAACTACTCTATAAAGCAAGGCATATTTGATAATATAAAAAAACACAATTAGGGCCAGTTGTATCTGATGAAGGGGGCGTGACCCCGGAAACGCGTCATCACACATCACACAGTCTCCTCTGCTGACACATAGACACGGCTGTGCAGCTTTCACAGACTTTTCCTTGGGTCCATGGACTTACTTTTTATACTTTTTATACCTCAATCATGAATTTTGTGAGTATGTTTTATACCTGCCTCTGATCCTGATCTTAATAAATTTGTCTGCACCAGGAAAGGCGCCCCTTGTTTGTGTTTTTTCCCTAGATTTTGCAGTCTCCCTGGCTGGTTTGGGGCAGCATCCTGCAGACCTTTCCATAAACGTGCTTTTATTTATCAATTTTTAACAGACTTTGATTCTGACTATACTCGTGCGTATATTGGTTTGTACTGGTTGAGCAGTCCTTTCTGGCGCTTTTTTGTGTTCATATCTGGACTTTCAATAAGTGGTTTGCTTTCAGAAGCAACAAATGAATTTGACCCATGTAGATGAGGATACATTTTATATTAGGGCCTGTGTCGATGGGCATTGGGCTTGTATCAATGGCATCAATTTGACATCAGTTGAGATGCTTCTAAAATAATTTAGAATTCATTGATGGGTGCATCTGACCTTCAGTTGATCTCCTCCTGACCTTCATTTAACCTGCTTGAAGAGGGTTTTATATATCCATAGACTTATATGGGATGCAAAACCCCTCTGAAGCGAACAAAAACCCTATTGAAACAAGGTTTTAGAGAAGTCACTCCAGCCCTGAATACATGAATAAGTAAAGGTGGTTCTGTTTATTATCTGAAGCTGTTTTGCCTATAGCTAGTCATGCTTTAGTCTAAACTGGAGTATCAGTGTAAGTATAAGTGTGTCAGTGTAAGTACATGCCTTTCCTGTGTTATATGATTATAGATCCTATTTTTTTTTAAAACCCAGATCTAGGTATTATCTACAGATATAGTTAACCTTTCTGTTCACTTACCATCTATGTAAAACATTGCAAAAAAATGTTTTTTAACATTTACGTTTGCAAAACTGTAGCATGTGCATGTTTGCATAAACATTTGCTCCTTTATGGCATGTTCTTTCTGAATGTTCCATATCCCTGTATCCTGACACTCCTGTTCTGCTTGCTCGGGTGGATGTATTGCACATTACTAAGTTGCATGTTGACTTGGTGCAATTTAGTATGTGCGATATTTTCACATGAGTGCATGCACGTGGGCCTGCCTGTATCTTGCATTCTTTATCTCCTTATGGTTTTGTTTTCTTTCTGATAACCACAGGACAAATGATTGGCTTATTTGGTTCTAGATAGCTTGCTTATGCAGTTAATCAGAAATTATGATTTCAACATGAATCTATTATTTCTTAACATTTCAGACGTGCAATACAAAGTAGGGCCAATTAGTTATTGTGTAATAATTATTATAAACAATATGTTGTTTCTGTCATTATCAGCCTGCATTGCATTCATCTTATCATGGATTTTCATTCCTTTAACTATGCTGTATATTAGTACATTTTACCATGTAAAATGCTACTACTACTCTGCAAACAGAAATAAATGCTGGGCAGCTGCCTGGTGCCTGTGAATTTGTTGGCTTCATCAGGGTGATGGGGAACCCAGTGCTATGAAATGAATGCATTTTAAGATGCTTTGTTTGCTTGGTGCTCTTCCAAAAAAGAAATCCACTGACAAGTGCTAACTAGTCCAGACTACCAGATCCAGTTTTCTGTTTGCAGAATGATCGGGAAGGGGGTACAATTTCAAGATCAAAGAGGTTTTCCAGTTTTGGTGAAACTGGAAAACCTCTTTAATGTGCCATAGTTATGTTGGCATTAATGTAATTGTTATGCCACCAATATTCTGAATGAATGTCTTTCCATGAGATTATGATAAACACTCAAAGTACTTCTCTTATTTAGTGCTGCTGAAAGTACACTGTTGCATGATGTCACTGTGGATGGTTGAGAGTGTGCTTTCAGAAGACTAATTCACCAGTACACCACCACCCAAACCACAATACATGGACTGTCTTTTCAGAAGATTTTGTGAACATTCAGCAAAAATTCTTTATCACGATTATAAATGAAAATTATTGTGACCTATATTTTGCAGTTGTGACCCGTGCTTCTTTTCTGGTCATTTGCCCATTGAACAGTGGCAGATATCGATTTAGTTTGTAGTTCTTTACTCTGAACCATATTTTCCGATAGTTGAATCACTGCAGGAAATTAGTTTTCCTACAATTTTGAAAATTATTTTAGCTGATATCTCCCATTTCTACAAGTCTTAGATAATTGGTTTTGTACCTAGAACAAAAACATTAATTTTGCACCAAATTCAAATTTGATGTCAAATTCTTGTCACATCTTCTGAAAGATTTGTGCATACGTGGCCCACTTGAGGTAAACTAATGAGCCATCTCGGGCTGCATAAAGTGGGAGGGACTAGACTAAGAAGCATGACTGTGTTTATGGTAAGTGTTTTTGGGAGGCTGGTAAGAATTCATTACACCACATTTGCATTTTACATAGGGAAAATATCACTATATATACAAGCTGTTTTTCCGGTGGATTGAATGCCATCTTTTTGCTTTGTTCCTCATTTTTAGGGGTGTATTTGATGCTTCCCTAAAAATGGCTTGCTTCTATGGACTGTACACTTGGCTTACACATACAATCTTTGGGATAAACATAATTTTTATACCATCTGGTAAGATGTGTATGCATGTCTGTATGTTATATGTTCATGTCTCTCAATGTATCTCAGCTTCTGTGTATGGTTTGCTGAGCTCTGAAATACATTATAAACATAAAATGATGATGTAATGTTTATCAAAATTAGTATAAGCAAACATAAAGTGGAAATAGAGGCATTTCTTCTTCTGTAGCAACCCCTACCTCTTACCAAAGTTTTTCACCACTACTACACCCACCATTCTTAATATATTGGCACTAAGTCGCAAACCCAGTCCGAGTTCTTGCGTGCTCTGTTGCACAATTTAGAGGCTGATTATGCTGCCCTGTGTCATGCCAAATAAGTGTGGAACAGAGAAGATCTCATTCCAATGCCATGTGGCCACATCACGTTACCAGCTAAGAGTACTGGCAGTGAACTGTACTTTAAAGATGCGTCTCTGAAATAGAAAGAACACTAACAGGGTAGTGTGACCTGCTTTTAGAAGATGATTTTTTGGTAGCGTCATAGTTTATTTTATACAGTTTCTATAAAAATGATTCACCCCTTGGACCTTTTCATGTTTTATTGTTAGAATGTTGAATCACAGCCTTGAGTCTGTGTGGATAGATCTCTGTTAGTTTTGTACATTTAGACACTGCAGTTTTTACTCATTCTCCTCTACAAAACTGCTTCAGTGATGTCAAGTTGTAGCGGAATTTTCAAGTGAAGCTACAAACGTTTTATTGGTTTGAATTCTGGGCTTTGGCTCAACCATTACAGGATATTAACATTGTTTTTAGATATTTCAATGAAAATAAACTATGACAACTGAAGACAAATAGAATATTTGGATGAAATTCCAGCTGATACAATGTTTTCAAAGAAATTACTATTGCCCAAGCTACCATAATTACCAAAATATTTTGTTTTCTGTATGAAGCCACGTTGTGGTACAAAATAAATGATACACCCTCTTCTGGCAGCATGACATGTTCTGGAGCTATAATAATAACTCATGTTGATGAACTACTGATCTTTGACATCAGTTATTTTCTTTTTGCTGCTCTCTCTTTTCTCTACTTTTTCTGGCAGCGAGAGAAGCAAGTCTCGAGGGACCATAATCCATGGTCCATGTTCTGAGCTGGGGAGGGGAGCTTATTTGTGCCAGTGATAGCATGCGTTTTTAAATCCTGCAGGAATTGGCTCCCTTGTCATTTAAATAAGAAGTGCAAGAGGGTATTGAATCAATCTAGTAAAGTAGAAATCTGTAGGTAAAGCTGCAGTCTAAGGTACATTAGGCATGATACATCTCATAAAACTTTCTGATCGTGACTGTAAGGCTTATAAAGTTTTATACAAAGAGTTATGTCTACCATTTGCATCATGTCATATATATATATATAATCAAAAGGGAAAACCATCACAGGCAGTCAAACAAATAATCCTGAAATGGTCCAGTGGAATTTCCTCCACTTTTATTCCTGTTTAGTCTTACCATTTTGATAATAAAACATCTAATTCTATGGCTGGGTGGGTGATAAAACCAGTTTGCTGCTGAAAAATGTAACTACTTGTTAACAGTCATCCCATTAGCAGCATTTTGATTTAAATTTTCTGCAAATGAGTAATGAGGTGACTGCCAACAAGCATTCAGTTTTCCTGCAGTAAAGAGATTTAAATGCAAGTGTAGCCCTAGCCTTACTTTACTGGATATGGGAACATGCATACAGCCTTCTAAATCCCACTTCAAGATAAAACAGTCTTCAGATTAAAAAAAAACATGTCTGCCTTTCCCTAAATGTCTCCTCTAAACAAAGCATAATCCATAGAACAGCGGAGTTGCATTCATGCACCTGCCTGTCTTTTTTATTTAAAAAAAATCAAAACAATATAATAGAAACAGATCTGTGAATGAACTTGGAGATAAAATGTCTGCATTTCTCTCGACTTTAAATGCATGTTCCACGGCAAGTTTTCATACTGTGTGTTGTATGTGCATTTAGATTTGCATGCATGTTTGTTTAGCTTGCACATATATATTTGCCAATGAACTAAAAATATTGTTTGTATTTTCCAGCTTTGGCTGCAATTCTTGGAGCAGTGCCTTTTTTGGGAACATACTGGGCAGCTATCCCTGCTGTCTTAGACCTGTGGTTTTCCCAAGGAGAAAGCTTCAAAGCAGTATTACTACTTATATGTCATTTGTTGCCAACATACTTTGTTGATACAGCAATTTACTCTGATATATCTGGGTAAGTGCAAACCTTAAACATGCCGATCGGTATTTGACTACTACATATCCCACGTAGCATATTTTAAAGCTAAACTTCAAGCAAACAGCTAAATACACATCTAAAGTACATACATGTGGGCTGTCTTTTCTGCCAAACCATATGTAATTCTGTTCAGCTTTTTTTGTAACTCCTTCATGTCTGCCAGATAGCAGTCAGGAGTCAGCCTTCTGATTATAGAGTGAAGAAGTGTCATCGTCTCTGCATACTCTTATTTTTACCTCCTGTCAGCACATGCACACTGCAGAGGGTGCTCTGGGCTCCTAAAGCTGCCGTCCCTTTATTCTAATTGCTGTTGTGCAGTGAAAGACAGGAAGCTGATATCAAGAGAGATTCTGGTACTTATGCTGGCTGTATGTAACAAGGCTTTGAACTATTTTTGAGGAAATATACAACTGTGTTTAACCCTTTTGCTGCCAAGCCCTCCGGAACATTTTGCACCTCAGCTGGCCATGCCATTTTTGCAAATTTTCCCATTGATTTGATTTTCAACTGCTGCGTTGCTAGCATTTGTAAAAGACCCCCCAAAAATATTTTCTGAATGCGCAGGCCCGCTACTAAATTTGTAGACCCTGTGATAATTGGGCAAATGTTTTTCAAATTAATATTAAACCGATAAAAATACACATTTCAATTGATAAAGCACTAAAATCAGTATCAGCGCACACAAAAAAAAAAATTCTGGCTAAATCTAAAAGATAAAACTGTATTGAGTTAATAAATAACAAATATTTGCAAATTTTAAATTGCGCCTTTTTGCGAAAAGGTAAAAAAAATGAAGGTACCAAAACTGTAAATAAGCGACTTATGTTAAAAATCGTTCTTGCGCTGTGTTGGTGTTGTGGAAAAAATGATACAGGCGTATATTTAATTGCAACACAAGGTATCACAGCGCACAGCAATGTGTCACAAAGCTTTGCCATGCGCTGCCACAGTTAAATTAATGTTGTTTTTTTACATTTAAATATTTTTTTTACTGTTGGGGGGGGGGGATACGATTAAATATCTGGGATCTAAACGGACCCCTGACATTTCCCTTTTGAAATAGAAAAAGAAACTGAGGACACGGAGTCCTCAATTTATTTTTCTGCAGCACTGAATGAATGAATGGGAAGCACTCAGTACAGGGGCTTCCCATTCATTCAGAAACTGGTGATAGTAAAATATTTACTATTACCAGTTTCTGAATGGAGAAAAGCCTCTGTAGTGAGTGCTTCTCCTCATTGAGAAAATCATGAATGAACAGGAAGTGATGGAAATCACATCCTGTTCATTCATAACTGGGGGCCCATAGTACTATGGGTCCCCAGTTATTTACAAACACTGAGACGATCACATCAGACGATCCCTCCAGTGTTTGTTCTGCACAGTGGATCGGTAAATATCACTGATAATTACCTACCCTTCGCTCGGCTACGCACAGAGTCCCTGTCATCCGCAAACTGATGGGACGACAGCGGCTCCGCTCTCCTCACCGCCTGGCCATCCTGAAACTTGCGGTTTCTCCCCACCAGTCGACGCTCTCTTCTCCTTTCGGATCCCTGCTGCCTCAGCCCCTACAAGCAGGAGAGAGCAGCGGGGATCCATTCAGGCACAGATCCCTGCATGGAGCGGCTCCAGGCAGGGATGAGAGGCTCCAGGTGAGGGTGGGCGCCTGGTATTTTTGTTATTAGTGGTCATCAGCGGCTTGTGAGCCGCTGATGACAGCTATTAATTTAAAGGGGACAGTCGGGGGAACAGTTCTACTATAAGTTCATGGTCGCTAAAGCAACCATGAGCTTATAGCAGAACTGTAAATGCCACCTCCGTACGGCATACTGACCTGGCCAGCTGGGAGCAGTTTTGTTCAGCCATATGCCTTACGGTGGTGGCAGGGAAAGGGTTAATAGTGCTTTTATGTTTACCTGGAGATCGGCGTTAAAATACTTTTTCGATCTTATATGGTCTGAGAACCAGTAAGTCTGTTTTCTGAACTTTAGCATTATTTCCATCTACAAAGTAATGTAAATTAGCACTGTGAATCAAAAGTAGACACCCTCGGTTTTCTTGTATGTAGCTTTTAATCTGTTCCTTAGCACCTCTGGGCCCAGGGACAGTTTTGTTTAACTCCAGTCTATGAGTGGTGAATACAGATACTAATGGGGATGCTTCATGTAGTTTTAAATATTTTTTCCTAAAGCCTGCTACTGACATTCAATTTTTGATTGCCAATATTTTTGACATTAATCATGACTGTACTCTTTCCTGGGTGTACATTGATGTATGTCATATCAATCAAAGGGTTGAAAGAACACAAATTTGTTTTAGTTTTAATCCCTGGCCTCTTTTCTATTTGCAGAAGAGATTCGAGTGGATACCAAGGCCTCTGATCACATCTAGAAATTCAACTTAAGAAAAACCTTTTAAATAGATATAAAAAAGATAAAGCCAAAAATTAAATAAAACAATCATAAAAAATATACATATGCATATACTGTACAGTGTAATAGACACAATTAGGATGCACAGACATATGCGCTTCCAGATCTGATATATACACATAAAGTATCTTGCGCACATTACAGGCTCAGTGTAAGTCACTTACAGTTACATATTACCTTTTTATTTTCATTTCTTTACAAAATGTTAAATGTGCCCATATTTATTTTTGTTAACTCAGTGCAGCATTACACGTTATATATTTAGAGGCCATTTTGTGTTTGTGTGCACTAATAACTGCTTGTAATCGCTCTCCATCCTGACTCACTGTCACAGGAAACTGAGCTGGCAGTGTGGGAGGAAAGCTCAGTCTCCTTTGACAGCCGACTCTTCCCCCACACTGCCGGCTCTGCCTCCTGTGACCCCACAAAGCACTCTCCTCCCTGCCCCGCTCAGCCCCATGACAGTTTCTCTCCTCACGTCTGCTCAGTCAGACGTGACACAGAGCAGCACCCAGCGAGAAGAGAAATCACGGATGCACCGCAATTTTGGCTGAAAGATGGTAGTTCTGCCCAAAGCACCATTTGCGGCCAAAATGTTTGCTGAGCATTTTCAATTTTTTGAAAATAGTTATTGAGGTCAAACCAACGATCGATTTTGACCGTAGTGATTAGGGATGCACCAATACTTTTCGAGTACCAGTGCCGATACTTGGCATTTTCATGAGAACTACCAGGGTTGCAGAGGTTGCAGCTGGGACCTGGCTCCGGTGCTCCACCATTGTCCTGAAATCATTAGTGGATATTGTTTTAGAAAATCTGTCACATGACAATAAACAAAAATGCATCAGTACTTATATCTGTGAGTACTTGGGCGAGTATCAGTACTTGTACTTGCAAAACTGGTATCAGTGCATCCCTTTATATTTATAAAAACAAAATCATACATTAAAACAGAGATGTACAAATCCCAGGAGCTCCGTGTGCTCCTTACAAATGACAGCTGCCTCCTAACTTTTAAATTTTTCTCTAGTCTAGTCTTGGAGCTGAAAAAGTATCTGTACTTGTACCAAGTATGGTACTTGGTATCGGTGCATCCCTAGTAGTGAAGGTAAACAAAATTCTAACAGCGTACGTGGTTTTTGTTCTAGAAACTCCATTCATTTCCAAAATTGTTAAAATCTAATCAAATTTCTAACAACATTTGTCAAGTCTCTGATGGCATTATCGAATGTTCTGACGAGATTTTTTGTACAAACGTTCAAATAAAAATCTACCAGTGTATGGCCAGCTTTCAGTGTAGTTAGGGTCAGACTCAGTGACTGTGATCTTTACATTACATTGCTAAGCAGCCAGAACTGTTGGAGTTTTCCTTACAATAAAATATGTTATAAGCATATATCAGCAGCTCCAAACACTAGCAGTAACAATATTGCCCCTTCCCAGATAGTGTGTTTCATTACCAGAGTCTGTTAAGTTCTTAACAACATATAGAGAACATATTTGTATTGCCATCCTTTAGTGATTTGTGGTAATTTCTTTGTGCAAAATGCTCACAATATTTTTATTCCTGTGTATGAGGCCTTAGCCTGTGAGGATTGATTCAGAGCTCTATCACGCAGATCAGTGAGGTACAAGTTACTCTTCCATCTTCAAATCTGAAGGCAGACTTATTTTTTAAAGCTGTTCAGTTGTGGATGTAGTTCTTGTGATAAAAGGATGAGTGAGTGTTGTTTTTGGATAGCATCATAATAAAAATTAAAATAACAACTAACAAGTTTCAATGTCCGTCAACATTGCATGTTAAGATGCACTTGAGGAATGTTATTTTTTTTCCATATGCAAAGACCTTTTTAGGAAAAATGTGTTGTTCTCTCTTAACAGAGGTGGCCATCCATATTTGACGGGTCTGGCAGTTGCAGGAGGTGCATACTACCTAGGACTGGAAGGAGCAATCATCGGCCCTATTCTTCTTTGCATACTGGTTGTTGCATCAAATATATATAGAGCAATGCTAGTCAGCCCAACGTCTGCATTGCCAACTCCATCAACTACTCCTTGGCCTCTTCAGTCTCATCGGTAAATCAGCTAATGTGCTCTCTGAATTTTTTTGAATGGTGATGAAAGCTTAACTACTAGGAAATCTTTAGCATTGTGATAAGCCCCCAATGCTTACCTAAAACTGGTCACATGTCAAACCACTTCACATTTTTACAAGGCTCAGGCTGCTTCTTGGTGACGTGGACTCTGCCCAATGACTGTCAAAAGGGTTCATTAAAGGTTCCTCATAGGGTCCTCTACTCTTATATATGACTTCACAGTGTGAAGGATGATAAAAAAAAGACTGGTCAGCTGTGCGGAGAGCAACTACTGATCTCTTTTAAACTGCCCATACACCTTGCGATCATCGGACTAAATTTTTCGTCCGATGATCGGACCGTGGTACGATTTTCGTACGGCGGCCCCATCCTGCCGCGATTATCGCAAGGTTGAATCAGCGGTAATTAAAAGAAAGCACCTGGACGAATTGTGATAATCGGCCACACGTATTTTCATCTGCGTGCGCGTGAGTAGTGTATATTATTTTATATTGTACAAATTTTGACGAAAACTTGATCGCATACGAAAATCGGACAATATTCGTGAGGTGTATGGGCAAGTTTACTCTATGATGTGAATGGTCATGTGGCATCAGGTTCGCTGAAACAGTAATTCTAACATATTGTCTCAATACTCTTCTAACAATGCTTGGCACAACGTTCATAGGTGGTGAAGCAAATTGTGTGAATGTGCTTTGTATGCTCTCATGCTCTGTTTGCAGTCTTAGTATCTGGATCAACTTTTAGTTAGTTTACTGTTCTTTTAAAAACTGGCTGTATTTCTGGGTAATGGTGGAGCCATTCAAAGATGTTTGCACCCTGTATGCATGCACATTGTTTCAATGTTTCACATTGTATCCTATTATTTAGCTTCAAGACATGTTGTTTTTAGATATTGCTTGTGAAATCTAAAACCTCTCAAAACTTTCACCCCCAGTGTCATTCTTTACCCTAAGGGACTCCCGTTTACTTTTTTAACAGGCAAACTAGAGTTGTACTTGACTTTAGGTTTTCTGTACAAAATACATATTTACAGACATGTATATATTTATTTACAAAATACATATTTTAAAGTCTGAATTACAGACTTTGCCATATTTCTGTTTCTTTATAAATATAAAAATAATTTTCTTTATATTTTTCCCTCAGACCATGTGATGAAAACCTTCAAGAGACTAGGAGTGCAACAGAGTGATCTTGACATCTTAACATCATCACTGACTTTCAAAGCGGATGCCTTTTTTGTACTCTTTATTAATCTCTGGTTGGTACTTGATGTGTCCTCTACCCTTCATATGGATGGAGTCTTCAAGTTCAGGATGTGTATTTTAAAAGTGGATCAATGAGCCATCTTTAAAACAACTGACAAAAAAGAGAATGAGTCTACGTTTGCACTAAAATAACTTTCCACTTGACTATTGCTTTAAACAGTTCACAATTCATTTTTTTAAATGTTGTTTGTGTTCATATATTAACTGACGACATCTTTCACATTGTAGCAATACTCATTACTGTGTGCAAATTGAAGAAAAAAATATATATATATAAGGAAAAATATTCTGATATTATATGTGCTTTTTAAAAAGAAAAGACGTTATACTTTGAGTGGCCAACTTTTTTGCACTTTAAGCACACTTGAATGCAAGTTCATGAAATGTTAATTAACTTGCTGATGGTAATTGTTTTATGACATACAGTGCCTTGCAATAGTTTTCATAATCTTAACCAAGTTGTTGTTTTTATTGAACAATACATGTTGTATGGAATTTTTTTCCTTGTGCAGTGAAGCGGTGAATTTTAAAAGTATTATTACATTTTTTTTTTTTTATGCTTTGTTAATTGTAGAAAAATAAGAAACTGAAATGTGCTATTTGCAGAGGTATTGAATCCCCACATTTAGCAGAGGCATCTTTTGTAGTAATAACAGCTTAATGTCTTTTGTGTGGAATGTACAGGTTTGCTTTGAAGAGTGTTAAGAAGTGATTTCGCTTATTTTTTTATGTAGATTGCTCATCGTGCCTCAGAGGTTTGTTAAAATTTAGAACCTGTGGTTTAGTAATCGAAATACATACATTAGCAAAATTAAATTAAAAATACACATCTTACAGGGTGTATTATTGGTTTAGTTATCAGGAAGTGGTAGTTATATCCAAACCACCCAAATTTTGTCTAAAATATTTACCCCTAAAATCATCTGCAAAACTAGGAAGAGACTTGTAAGTCAAGTGTTTACTTTTATGTGTGGTGTGCACTATAAGTGTTTTCAAACCCCATCTTCACCTGGGTGTACTGAGCACAGCCCAAACAGGACCCAGCGTGCCCTTTGCCTGTTTCTTTTTGGACTTGTGGAAGCACACAAGCAATGATCCTGACATAAACGCTTGCTCTTATATATCAAAATGCAAAGCATCTGGGTAGGGGATGTTCCCACTAGGATTTGCACAGCGCTCTGTAAAACAGCAAAGTCCTGGTGTACGTCCTGGGAGTACTTGTAAGGTTCAGTAAAACCTAAAAGTATTAGGTGGGGAGCTCTCCAGGTCCCTTTAGGAATATGCTGAGAAACTCAGAGCTTAATAGCTGAACCTGGAGTAACAGAATCATTTAAAGGAGAACTATGAGGTGAGTGCTTTTCACTCACCTCATAGTTCTAAGCCGACCTGTGGCAATGAAACTGTCACAGGTCGGCTCAGTAGATCAGGAGGTGAGAGAACACATAGCGGCGTTCGCTCACCTCTCGATCCTGTCACGGCTCTCTGAGCTGCTGAGCCTAGGGTGACAGGAGGACGCTAGTTTGTGTCCTCCCGTTACCCTAAGGAGAACTATGGCAAAAAGCCTTAACCCCATAGTTCTCCTTTAATTTGATCATTTTCAAGTTCACTACATAACACTATGGAAGTACAGACATGGACAAATTCATTGGTACCCGGACAGCTCATTGAAACAATGCTTCATTCCTCCTGAAAAGTGATTAAATTGAAAGGCAATTGGCAATTGTCTCATGTATACCTGCATGCCTTTGGTGTGCCATAAAGTAAAGCAAAGTGTGAAAAGTAATACATTTTTGCTTATTCTACAACAATATTCTTAAATGGCCTGGACAGATTTGTTGAAACCCGTAGAAAAGATTATACTATATATAATATGATCATAGTAATATTAATAACACATTTATCATCAATCTTGTAATTAGGCAGTCAACCTATTAAAATGGGGGAAAAAGTGGTCACCCTGTTTGGTCCATGTTCAGTGTGGTACACATGATGATACCAGAGACAACAAATGAGAGAGTAGCCTGAGGCGATCAGAAGAAAAATATAGACCAGCACATCAAAGTTAAAGGTTTTAAGAACATCTCCAAGCAGCTTGATGTTCCTGTGACTACAGTTGCAAATATTATTAACAAGTTTGAGCTCCATGGGAGTGTAGCCAACCTCTCTGGGCTTGGCCTCAAGAGTGGACTTGGAACCCAGATTGCAGGAGCATTTTGCTCCGGAATAGTGGGCAAAATTACCTTCTGGCAGGTGCAGGCGTCTCATTAAGTGCTACAGAAATCGCTTGTTTGCAGTGCACAAATTGCTTGTTTGCAGTGATTGCCTCTAAAGTTTGTATAACAGAAAATTAGGTAAAGGGTTGCAATTATAATCTGACTATACAATCAAATTTAGATTTACCAAAACTATGTCATACAAGAACATACCTAATTTATTAAATCAATCTGTATCCAATCAGGCAGACTTTGCACTACATAGTTGGTAGATCTAAAGAAGATTGTACAATCAGATTGTAAAATGTGTGCTGAGCTTAAGGGTCCCATCATTTTTGTCCATGCCATTTTATTTTTTTATTATTTAAAGCAAAGCCTGAGTTTTATTAAATATGGAATAAACAATGATTTACTTTGTCAATCTCAGAAATGAATGGGTTCTTTTTTCTTGAAAGGGTACCAAAAAAATGTGTCCAGGTCTGTTTAGCACATAGGAAGCCATTATTTAAGAATTATGTGAAATTACAGGAATGACCCACTTCTGATAGAGAAAAAAAGGTTTGTGGTCAGATGATACCAAAATTGAGCTTCACTAGTCTTACACTGACTACAGTTCAAAAACCAACATACCTACAGGGAGATAAGGCAGTTTATTCATTATGAAGTGGGCTGTTTTTTAATATCAAGGGACTTGGCATCTTATTACATGAATGATAATGTTGGGTGTATATAGGTAAATACTACTAGAAAACGTGTCCAAGCCTATTAAGAAAAATGTAAATTGGGCAAAAAATTACCTTTTAGCGAGACACTGACACCAAACATAAAGCCAGAGTAACATGAGTTAAAGTGGTGCTAAACTCAGGAGTTAAATCTTAATACATTCAAGTGACCTATTAACAGAAATGTAGCTTATTTGTGTGCCACTCAGCCGTAGATCCTCAAATCATCTCTGGATTGTTGCTGACCTAGTCCTTCCTTCTGGAGGGTGGCTACTTTTGTTCCCCATGGTCCCTGTGTGAGTTTTAAAGTGGTCACCGCACCAAGCTAGCTCCCGTGATGGACTACAATCTCATGAGCAGTTTACTAATATGAATGGAGATTGTAGTCCATCATGAGAGCGAGCTTGGAGCGGTGGCTACTTTACAACACACACAGGGACCATGGGGAACAAAAGTAGCCACCCTCCAGAAGGAAGGCCAGTGTCAGCATAAATACAGATATGATTAGAAGATCTACAGCCTAGTGATGCACAAGTAAGATACATTTTTGTTAATAGTTAAGATGCTTGAATACATTTTTCAGGTTTAACTTTTGAATTTAATAACTTTAATAACTCACTTTAATAAAGAAAAAAAAAGATGGCAGTACAGTTTGTGAATTGCCGGTGTCCTGATAATGATTCACACATTATCTGCACAGCCTTTAACCTTGGTTTACTAAGCCTTTGTCACTTGCCATAGTGGTCATTATTTTTAGCCACATGACCATGATTTTCAACTTCCATTGGCTGTCATTGCTGGAAAAATATTTCATCGCAATGTCGCTCAATGTAGCGTGTGCGATGCATTTCAATGGTTGCTCAATGTCGCGCATTAGCGGCGATATTGCACGACCTTGTCGTGCGATATCGCCCTACAGAAGTGTCACTTTTGCACAGCAATATGGAAGGAATGATGTCACATCAAGACCGCTTTTGATTGGTTACAGCCCAATGTAGCAGCGATGAAGTCTCTCCCAAAAGACGCGCTACGTAGCGCGACAAAATGTGCAATGCCGCTCAGCTCGAAATCGCGCTGCAAATTGCCTATTTGTCATCCCGCTCAGTGTGAATGGGGTCTGAAGAGCTTTGTTTTATATGTTTAGTGCAGTTTCACGCGTATTCCTATGTCTGAATACGTGCGGACAACCGCTCCTGTGTGAATGGAGCCTAAATCAGGTGGGATTTGTGACTATCAGTTTGTTCAGTTAATATTTGAAAATGAAACATGTTGATTGGCTGCCATGGACAGCTGCTCCAGATTTTGTCTGCTCCAGTTTTGATAAATTCCCCTCATTGTATGCTATCTGCTGTTAGGGAGCACTTTTAGGGCCATGCCAGACAAGTGAGGCAAGGTAAGAGAATCACTTCCCCTAAAGTAATCACTTCCTCCATAATCTAAAGGCTTCAGAATGTCAGTGTAATGAGGGAGCAGCGACAGATCAACATCTTGCTGGTCCAGCTTTTGAGGGAATGACCCCGTAAACACACTTACCAGCAGTAAAATCACATTTGTGACATGGAGCATAGTTTAAAATGGCAGGATGGTGTTTAAGGTGCTGTTGCCACAAAACAAGGCTCTATTAAACATTAGTGTGGGGATTCACTATACTGTATATGCAAAAAAGTACATTTCATTTATTTTTTTAAATATTTTTTTTCTATCATAAAACAAGATTGACTAAAAAGAGAGTTTGTGTTTTGAAATTAAAAAAATGTCACAAGGGCAAAATTTCAGTGTAGTATGTTATGTTCAGTGAAATGGGAGAAACAGTTGGGGTTGTAAATACTTTTGCAAGGCACTTCATATTGATGTAGTTGGTCTGATGGAGCTTGGTAATTTCCTTGCCAATATGCCTGATATCTGTAATTGAAGATGAAACATCAGGTATTGCTGTATATTTACATTTGTATTATAACGTAGGAGTTTTAATGCTATTTTTAGTATTACAAAGTAGTAATAAAAAAGTCTTAAATGATGACAAGATTTAACCTATATATTATGACACTGAAACAACAAGTCTGCCTTGGTACATTCCTTGCCCTAATGTATTATGGGAAAGGGCAATATGTAGTGCAGCAATCATTCATCTTACATCTGTAAGTGTTCGGTCTGGTTTAATTTGA